TTTTATTTTGAGGAAGACAATAAATTTGAAAGACTCCAACTTCCAAGCCATTGGATTTGTATTGATTGATATTATTCTTTTGCTTAAAAGTTGTACTTAAATGCATATACATTGGATTGAGAATATGTTATTCTAGAATTGAAATTGGAGTACAGAATTGAATTTAGTTTTTTAGGCAGCTGCTCAGACTTATTATACTTAGGCTTTTATGCTTTTTATAAATTGAATGTAATTGGTAATCCCATTTTGTCTTTATTTCATTTGTATGTTGTTATGGAATTCATTTATGTTGTTACAGCAATTGATAAATGATGTCGTTTTGATATGACTATGGCGTGATTGTGAGTCCTGTATGGTGGTTATGAATCGTGTATACAGGCTTAACTTTTTTGGGATACTATTTTTAGAGGAAATTCTATCTAAACATTCACGCGCATTTAGTTGTTGAGGTTGGCTACTATTGTATTGCTTGAGAGTGGTTTTGTTTTCTAGCATATGTTGGCTATCTTTTAGAAACTTGAGGTTGGTTACTATTTTTTTTTTTTTCAATAGATTATTGCATAAAGTACTGGATATGTCTGTGCATATGTGTGTCCGGCTGAAAATATTAAGTTCCAAAAATGTTGTGCTTATGATTTTTTTGAAAATAGGCACCTATGCAACATGCATTTTAAAATAATAAGCAAATATATGTTTGTGCTTATTTTTTCGCTCGATTTTTAAAGTTAATAAGACTAATTATTGTACTTTGAGTCGAGTTTGTTTGACAGGTTTACTTTGACGGTGGAATAAAGCTTTTCTTGCTTAACAAAAGACATGGAAAATTTTTCAATGGGACTACCAAGAGCTTTTAGTCAGATGCCTATAGTTTTAAAATGCATGCTTCATGGATGTACGAAGTTTGACATGTTTTATGTGGAAGCAGTTTAAAATGCATGCATATAGTTTTAAAACACATGGTTAATTGTTTATGCTGCTGCAGTTTTGGACTTATTTTCTAGCAATTCTACATGGAGTTGGACATTACAATAATTTGAAATTATGTAGTTGTGTGTGTCGTGGGTGTCTAAATCTTGCTATGAACTGTTATATAGATGAAGTTGAATTAGTCTGCATAACGGGTATTAGTATGTTTTTGCATTAGTTTGTACATGGTTGTGTTAAGGGATGACTATGCAGTGGTGATGTGTTTGAAATTTGGGATTGTGTTTTCCTTAATTTTAAAAACACATGCCATTGAATCGTGCATCAAAAGATACACAACCAGCAATTTAACCAACACCGAGTCATTGCACTGAGAGATACACAATCGTTGCAATGCCATTACCATGGTGTTAACCCGTGCCTAAAGAAAATATGCTCACCCATAGACAGCACTTACACCCAATTATTTGAATTTGTCCCAATTAATTACCTCATGCATTTCCCGCCATTAGTTTTCCCAAAATTGAAATTGATACATTCCCTCTAAATAATTGCATTAAAATTTCCTCTCCTTCCTGCATTTTGAGATTTGGGCTTAACCCTATTTTCTAGGAACAATTAATATTGACTAGATTAATGTGAAATTGAAAACCCTAAAATTTTTTAGTTTTTATATTATGCTTAGTTAGGGTTTGAAAACCCACATTATGGGTTTGTTTTACTTATTGGATTTTTATTGTCACTTGATTGCTTTTAGAGTAGAGTAATGTGTGTTTGCGTGAAATTTTAGGCTGCAAAAATTCCAATTTATTTGCGTTATATGTTATGGATTGGTTTTCAAGTTGATTAATGTGGGTCTACTTGTTTATCTAATCTCATGCCATGAATTCGTTTAAAGTTGATTGGTGTGGTTCTGTTTAGATTAGTTTAATGGCTGAAACGATTGTATGTTCACTTTTCTATTTGGATGGTTTGTTCGCTTTTCTCTTTGGGTGGTTTGTTCGCTTTTCTCTTTCTACTAAATGTGCTTCAGAAATCTAATAATGAGAAGTATTGCAAATTGCCAAGGCGCGTGGCATTTTATACATTACGTCATACTCTTTTATTATTTACTGTGACTATTTGCATCCTATATGTGTAAGTAGTGTTCACAATGCAGATATGTGTATGTTTAAGTTTCTCGATGTAATTTTTTAAGTTGCGTAAAAATGATCCATGTTATGCATGATGAGCAATGTTAATTGAACATTAACTAGGTTCGTGCATAGAATCGCGTAAAATTATTTTAGAGCTATTAAAGCAGCTTTGCCCAGCCCCATACCCCAGCATCAAACAAACCATAATGGTATATAAATGTGTTGTGTTATCAATTGTGGGACTTATCATTACTAAGTTAGGTTTTCATTGTCTTTTTGAATCTTCAAATAATTGCGTTTTCCTACTCATTAATTTTATTGTGGTCTTTATATATTTGATGTCGATGTCAATGTCGTGGGTTTGACAACATAGGAAAGCTTCTCAAATTGTCAAAAGAAAATAGAATTGTCATCCAATTCTTTATTGAAGTCGTATTTTTGTTTAAATAAGCATGTATGAATAGAAACATGATCTTGGAACATAACAATGAATTCTCTTTTTTTAATGTATGAATTTTTGTGTTACGTAGAGCCATTCAAAGTTTGTTCCATTGGTTACCATAGTTATTCACCACTTGAGGCTTGTTTAATTAGATACTTGTGGTAATATTTTTCACTCATTTTATTACAGACGATTGAAGACTTATAGAAAACTGTAAGATGAATTTCTTTTCTCCCATTTTATTATTACTTCTTACCTATATAGATATCAAAGTACTTATATTTTAATTTTTGCGTATTTATAGGTCCAGTTGCTATGGAAAAATAGTATAGATGTTGTCATCCATGAAGAACGTAATCTTAATCGCCTCCTTATAGTTGAGGTAGTGTCATTTCACATCTACTATTAATTTTTTTAAAGGAATAGAAAAAGACAACCGCAACAACAGATGCTAGATCTAATAGAAAATAGTAGGCAAGCTCCTCCAACAATGGACTACCAAATTCAACACTTCAACTATGTTAAATTACTCCTTTGCCATTTGAATTGCTCATTTTTACTTGCTTTTGTATTGCTTATGCAGTAATGTCACTTTAATATATTTTAGCTTATGCGGTTGTTTGACTTGAGAAATGTAAATTAGAACTAAAAACGAGGATTTTATGAGTAAGTTTTGTGAATTTGGTATACCAATTGAGGTGGAATATATTATGTTTATCAAAACTGTTCAATTTCTTTGTGTGCTTTCTGCAATTGGTGACATGAAGTGTTAATGTGCAATGTTGAGGAAGAAAATTGGATTTTGGTTATGAGTTTGGGCACTTTGAGGAATAACATTGTATTTTTATGTCAACTGTCGTTCTTTGGTTATGAAAACTGTGTATACTGGTTAAAGAACTAACAAATTAATATTTTTTGCATACAAAATTGGTATTTTTTGTATTTTACCTTTTATCATCGGTGTTTATATTATTGGGATGGTTTTAATTTTTTTATATTAAGGCTGGATTGGGGTGTAATATTGACTCCAATAATTGAATTTGGGTTGTGATTGTGACATATATTAATTGCCTATACAGGATGATATTTTTTTGAGGTCCTTTTTATAGGAAAAATTTTATCCAAATATTTTAAAAGAACAAAAAAAATTAAATCAAAATTTAATTAAAAAATAAAAATTAATCTAGAGTAGAGCTTAGTAAATCTAATAATTAAGCTTCTATTAAATTATGAACAAACTTAGAGCAGATAGCATAATTGAACGTAACTAATCTAGAGCAGAGGGCATAATCGAACATAACTAATCTAAAGCAGAGAATATAATTGAACTTTTGTTAAATATTGACTTTTTTTTTTTTGTTTAGTGTGCCTTTAGACACGGATATTTCATGGCATACGTTTGCAAATCTCTGTAAGTTAACTTTTGAGTATATATTTATGAGCACTACTGTCAGTTTTAATCAAACATGTAGTTCAAGCATATAAAATTTATGAAGTTTCACTTTAAATTTATGGTAGGTTAATTATTAAAGTTGAGTTTTCTTCACTGAAATTTGTCTTCACGATACTTTATTGAGCATGTATGTAAGCACAGGTGTCTTAAGAATGTAGTTTAAGCTTCCAGATTAGTGCGTGTCTATGTTCAATACTTAATTTTTTTCGTGTCCACAATCAAGTTTCAATTTTTTTGAATTGCACAGTGCCTTCAGGCACAGGTTATCGTTAGTACTCTATTATTTCAGATCTAGGGGTATATTATTGTTTATTTTAACATTTCTCTCTCCCTGTATGCATTTGTGTGTGTGTGCCCGCATCTGTGTGGGTGGTGTGCAACTCTGTGCGTGTGTATCTGGTTTGTTTGGGAGGGGGGTGTGTGTGTGCGTGTGCATCTCCTTGTGTGTGTGTGTATTTGAACTTTGTGTCTTTGTATTTGACAATATTTGATCTGGTGTATTTAATTCACCATGAATCTGCTCAAACTCTTTGAATTTAGCCAGAAAAAATTGATAATAGTAATGTTTTATGGGCATTGGTGGTCAATAATGTAATATTAAAATTTTTTTTATAAGGAATTGAGGAGATGAAATATATCTTGTCATTTTTTAATCATTCAATTCAACGGCAATTTTTATTGGGAGATAAATATGATGATGAAGCTTGGTGTGATGTTGTCCCTATGGATGCCTGCCATATTTGACTTTGAGTTTCATCAATGAAAGTTCTATTGGGTTGCAAAACCAATTTTTCCTCATGGTTTAATAGGTATTGGAACATTCTTGGTTTATAAGTTGATCTTCAAAAAAATTGTGCAGGCTGCATTACAACCAAAGAACTTGATACTGTGATGAGGTTGCTAGGCCAGAATCCTATTGAGGCTGAACTCTTAGAACTCTTAGGACATGCCATTTACAATACTCCGGCGACTGTGCCTGCCTCAGTGTTGTTGACACACAAACACTAAGCTGCACATCTGCAATCTCTGCCACACCTCCGCCTCAATGGCCAAAACCCCAAAGACGAAATCAAAGCAATCTTCACCTCCTCACAAGAACTCCAAGCAACAAAGCCCACACTATTGTTCCCCTACACCTACCCCAACCACTCCAATCCCTGCAACCCCTCGCCGCCGCTCTCCCCGCCTCATCTCCTCCCATTTTCCACCACTACTTAGATCTTCACTCCCAAAATCCCTTCACTTTAATTCCGAAACCTCCCAAAAATTAGTTACTTATAACCCGAAATCCACCCAGAATGCCAATGCATCGAAACGAAAATCGGGCATTGATCCAATCGATGGTTCATTGGCACCCGTATCACCGGATCATTACGAGGCCAAAAAAAGAAAGAAATTTAATGAAAACAAAGTGAACATCGACAAAACTAGGGTTTTGAAGAGTTCTGGGGGATCAAAGAAAAGAGTGTATTATAAGAACGTGGAATATGATGGGGGTGAGTTTTCGGTGGGGGACGATGTGTATGTGAAGAGAAGAGAGGATGCAAGCTCAGATGAGGAAGACCCAGAAGTGGAGGAGTGTAGGGTTTGTCTCAAGACTGGCAAGGCTGTGATGATTGAATGTGACGATTGTTTGGGTGGGTTTCATTTGAAATGCTTAAAGCCACCACTAAAAGAGGTCCCAGAAGGAGATTGGATTTGTGATTATTGTGAGGCAAAAAAATTGAGGAAAAAGGTTGAAGTACCTCAGCCACCAACAGGGAAGAAACGACTAAGGACTGCAAGGGAGAAGCTTCTTTCAAGTGATTTATGGGCGGCTCACATCGAAAGGTACAATTTACCTTAAGAAATGGCATGAAATTACTGTAGTTTGTCTTGATGAATATATTGTTAATGATGGATGATGATAAGTTTTATGATTGTTGTGATGCCTAAAGTATTTGGAAAGAGGTGGATGGTGGTTATTTGTTTCGGGGACGTTGGTATATAATTCCTGAAGAAACTGCCCCAGGAAGACAGCCGCATAATTTAAGGAGGGAGCTCTATCGGACCAACGATTTTGCTGATATTGAGGTAACATATGCCCTTTCCTGTTGTTTATTCGATAATCTCTTGATTGGGTGTGTGCTAATGTACTTTGGGTTCTTTCAGTGTTTTTAGTGGTTCTTACTGTGCCATATTAGAAATTTTAATTTTCAATGAATTAATCTACATCAAGATATGGTTTTCCTTTGGCAGCGCACAAATGGAAGTGAATGTCAATAAATGAATGCACCGATGTTAATAAGACACACAGGCAGATTCCTTTTGGGATTGGAAGAATCTTAACAACAGAATCAGTCATCTAGATGTTCGATCAGAATGCTTTTACTGTAGAGCAAATGAAAATTAAGGAAGACCACCTATACATTTCAGCACGCACATGGTCTCAGATCTTTTGATCTTTCAAACTTTTCAGTTGAAATTGCTGGTTGTTTAAGCTGTAGGCATTGTGACTTCTGCAACCTAGCCCCAATAAATTTGTGGTGGAGAATGGAACTCATCAGGTGATTTTCCAAGCTTGAAAAATTATATTAGAACAACACGTTAGGAAGATGAAGGGCACACTTTAGGAATCTAAAGTGCTGTGTGTGATTCTATTCTATTGGGTTGCTCTTACTGTAGAGAAAAAGTGCATAAAGAAAGCTTATGCAATTAGCGTGCTCATGGCATGCAATCTTTTGGTTTTTCAAACTTTTCAATGGAAATTGCTAGTTATTTTAGATGGAGGCACTGATTATTATGAATTATAGCTCCTATAAATTGAGGGAGAATGAGCTACCTGAGTATGATGACTGGCTGAGCTAAAAAAATCTAGTTAGAACACTTCCATTTTTGTTGTTTTCTTATCTTACATATCTCACTCACAAGTCCTCTTGATTTTGATGCGAGGACCTAATGGTTCACACAGACAGAGAGAGAGAGAGAGAGAGAGAGAGAGAGAGAGACTTTTGAAGATGTGAAATATCTATGTGTGTACATATATTGCCATGCAAAGCTTACTTGCTTTCTTACTCCATGCTTGTACTTTTAAAGTATAACATAAATTAGGCTTGTAATTGAATCGAATTTCCAGTTAGTGCGAATTGAGTTTGGATTATAGATGTCTTGGTTTATAGGCTTATTGAGTATCATTTTTAAATTTGCAATCTTCACTTAATTGTCTGTCCTTCCCAATTGTTTGTTGGACCAAACACACTCTCACAATCCTTTGTTTGCTTATTATTTTGTGACTTCCTACAGTGACACTTTGTTTAAGAGCTATATTGTCTTCCCTCAACTTTTTATGTTAATTCTTTTTTTGTAGATGGAGTCTCTTATAAGGCATTGTTATGTTATGAATCCCAAAGAATTTGCCAAGGAAAGCAATGGTGATGATGTTTATTTATGTGAATATGAATATGACATACATTGGCATACTTTCAAGCGTATTGCAGAGATTGACAATTGTGAAGGGGTAAGCTCTCATAAAATTAAGTGCATTTGGGGGAAGAAGTCATTGGCATTTGCTTGTAATCTATATTCTCACTCTCATTTGGTAGGATGATGAAGAAGCTGACAGTGATGAAGATTGGAGTTCTTGCAAGGATTCTGACTCTGAAACAGAAGACATGGAACATGAAGAGAAACGCAGGAATTTAGTTGCTGGACAATTCCCCACACATCAGTTGGCTGCAGTATGGGCTTTTCCTTTATTAGATTATGTGGTTAATAGTCTGGTGGCTGTTTGAAGAAGAGGTCTAACCATTTTTTAACGCTACAGAACTCGCGAAAGGGTCAAATCTTTGGACTTCAAAAAGTAGGGACAAAGAAAATCCCGGAACATGTGAGATGCCACAAGCAAACTGAACTTGAAAAGGCAAAAGCAACGCTATTGTTGGCAACTTTACCCAAATTTCTTCCTTGTAGAAATAAGTACGCTTCACTTGAAAAGTATAATTCAGGATTTTCTGTGTTCACCGTCTAATAGGGGCATGTTTTGTTATGCAGAGAAATGGAAGAGATAACTGCATTTATAAAAGGTGCCATATGTGATCAATGCCTTGGACGATGTCTGTATATTCATGGAGTTCCTGGTACTGGCAAGGTAGAATCTATCAGCTGTGAAAATATAACCTTTGGGGTTGGATAAACGGGGTATAGCCGTATAGGTCATTTCTTGATATTTTAGTTGGTTAAATTTTACTTATTTGTTTTTCATTATCTCTGCCAAATTGCAGACAATGAGTGTACTTGCAGTAATGAGGAGTCTAAGGTCTGAGGTTGATGCAGGAAGTATTAACCCTTACTGCTTTGTGGAGATTAATGGTCTGAAATTGGCATCACCTGAGAACATTTACAGGGTAAGGAGTCACAGTTAATGGGGTCTATGTCATGATTTTTGAAAGCATGTACTCCTTTTCTCATCTATCTTTACATCCATTATCAGGTAATTTATGAAGCTTTAAGTGGACACAGGGTTAGTTGGAAAAAGGCTCTCCACTTGCTGAATGAGCGGTTCTCAAATAGAAACAAAACTGACAGGGAGGACAATCGGCCTTGTATTCTGCTCATTGATGAACTTGATCTTCTTGTAACTCGAAACCAATCGGTAAATTAGGCATTTTACTGAGCAATAGTATCAGTAGTCAAAATCAATATCAAATTTCCAAAGTTAAAGTGTTATTTATCGACAACCCCTTCTTTATCAGGTTCTGTATAACATTCTTGATTGGCCTACTAAGCCACATTCCAAATTGATTGTAATAGGTAGGAATTTATTCTTGTAACATTTTCTTCCCAGCAGAATAATGACTTGTACGAATTTGAACTTGATTTTTTATGACATTAATTTAGGAATTGCAAATACTATGGATCTTCCGGAGAAGTTGCTTCCCCGTATTTCAAGCCGTATGGGCATACACAGGCTGTGCTTTGGTCCTTATAATTATCAGCAACTTCAAGAAATCATTTCAAGTCGTCTAAAAGGAATTGATGCATTTGAAAAACAAGCTATAGAATTTGCTTCAAGAAAGGTTGATTGTCATGCTATTTCTGATACACTTGATTTTACTTTTACACTCATCTGCTGAGATATATAGCTAATGGATTCTCCTTCTCAGTTGGTTTTTGAGTTTTGACCGCCCTCCTTGCATTTTTAATATCATATCAGGTGGCAGCTATTTCAGGAGATGCACGTCGTGCACTGGAGATATGTAGGCGTGCCGCTGAACTCACAGATTATCATAATAAGAATTCAAATCCCAATTCTGCTCCTGCAGGTAGAGATACTTTGACTACCTCTGTACTCCACATTGCAATAAGAAAGTATAATGGACAGATCACTCTAGAGTCAGAAGGTTGGACTTACCTTCGTGACAATTACCAGTTATATCTGAAGACCCCCCCACCCCTTGACACCGTGCAAGATATTATCAACAAGTCAAACATGTATGGTGCAGCAGCAGTCTAGATACGTAGAAATGAGCTCTAGGTCACTCGGTGTAACCGCCAGCTAATCTGTATTGGTGGATGCCTTCGACACTTCTACAATACTACTGGCATAGCAGAAATGGATCCACTTGGGATAAATCAGTGCAAGACTTTCTAGGATGATTCAGTAGAATGACTTCAATTCATTTCCCAAACTTCAAAATAGAGAGATCAAGAATTCACCATTTCTTAGATACATGGATTTAATTTATACTTCGGGTTCTTTCATTGCACTTTCTCCGGAACAGGATATCTTATAGAACTCTTTCACCTGAAAATGTTTTAAACATGGTTTATCACATTGAGCATGTTATGAGAAAATAGCTTTTTACGCCCATTGCGTGTCAATATTGTTGTTCTCTGCAGTTTATTCTAACTCCTCTGGTTTGTTAATTGGGGGGCATCATATTATTACCCAATTATCTAGCTGCCGACGTAATGAGATTACAGAACTACCACCTCAATACTGTCTTGGGCTATGGAGGACCTGCTATGCTGATAATTACAGGAGAATCTGTCAATTGGCAACCTAATAGATGATGTTGCTGCCTGAGACAAATATTTATGGAAATTGATGGGAGGCTAGGTTAAAAAGGAATATGCCTAGCCACCTACATTGTGCTATATATTTCCTTGTAACACTCAATCTGCAGAGATGTAATATTTTCATAACGTTTCAACAATGATTTTAATTTTAATCTGGAAGTATGCCATATTCTTGCATGTATGTTTCCTTATTCATCCGTATTTTCACATGGTTTTTTCTTCACCTGCCGGATATGCAATATTTGGTCTGATGAAACATTGGTGTCATCATTAATGCCCAGAATTAGAATTCATTTCAGCAATAACTGTTTTCTGCTTGTTCTAGAAGATGTTTCTGCTAATCTAATGGTTCTACATTGGCTGCTTTCCAGGAAAAGCTCTTGTTGGCATGGTAGAGGTTGAAACTGCCATACAGGAGATGTTCCAGGCTCCTCATATTCAAGTGAGTCAAAAATAAACTGAATGAGATTTCTTATACACTGTTTCCCTCTATTTTTTCCTTCTCAATGAACATTATATTCCTTGCCAGCCAAATGTCAATTGTGTTCTGGTGGAACCTATTCGTAAACTATTCCGTCAAAATAACAACTAGAACAAAAGAATAAAGAACAAAAAAGTTACTTTATGTGGTAGATTTTGAATGAGAAATACCAATTCATGCTATTAAGTGATACTAAAAATGCCCAGGTTAAAAATTCAGAGGCCATGGTCAATTTTCACTGCATGGTTTTTGTGCTACTTTAAAGCATATAGCACTGATACCTATGTAGGTTTTAGTTGCATTGTTTGAGCACTTCTGTTTTTGAGAAAAAGATATACGGTTCGGTTATGAGCTTTTGATCTTTCTATTTCGACTGTCAGAGTCTAACTTTACATGAATTTCTTAAATACATTTGTTTTTCTTTTCAGGTTATGAGAAGTTGCTCCAAACTGAGTAAAATCTTCTTGGCAGCTATGGTGCATGAGCTTTATAAAACAGGAATGGCCGAAACTACATTTGAAAAGGTCAACTTTCTAAGCTTTCCCCACTACCTCTGCAATCACAAAAGTATGGTGATATTGCATTGCCGTTACATGGAGTTCATCACTCTTGAGTAGGACACTTGTTTGAGCCGCATAACCAATCACTAATGACTAAACATGCAATCAATGTATCACTTGGATTTCTCTTTTGATCAATATTTGTTTCGGGCCACAATGTGTATATAGGGTTGACACCAAAATCTTTGCATTAAGTGCATGTTAATTGTGTGCCATAAATGCCAGAGGCATGGTTGGATGCTAGAAGCCCCGCACCTTAAGTCTGCTATGTTCCCTGCTAGAGACTAGAGAACACGGATTGAAGTCATTTAAGAAAATTGCTCATTATTGTTGAAGCACCACCAAGTGGAAATTGGACCATGTTTTTAGTTTACAAAATGTTTCTGTCATTAATTTCTTTTGTTCCAAGGCAGCATAAAGCACTCTAGCAGTTTGCAATATATGATATCGAAAGGGCTTTTGAATACTTGTCTGAATGTTTGATTAAAAAATAAAGGACTTACTTGCATATGTATTGAAAGATGCATATCTAAATGCAGTTGGCAACGACTGTCTCATGCCTCTGTGCAAGCAATAGAGAAGCATTTCCTGGATGGGACACGCTTCTGAAAGTTGGGTAAGCCACATTCTCCTGTTTACTTCACACCTTACACTAGCTGAATTATAGTTCATCTTCCCAGATCTGGCATTGTTGTGAAAGGGTGTTTACAAGGGGTCTAAGTAAGCTAGTGTATGAGCTTGAGTTACATGTTCCATTTCAGGATCTGGACTAAAAATATCCAATTGGGCATCTCAAGCTCTATGTTGGCCCTTTGGTAGCCCTAGCTATTGAAACTGCAAAGAAATTTCCTTTGGTAGCCCTAGCCAGTTTACTTGCAAGGAAAAATTCATTCTTTATGCAATTTATGACAGTGGATGACAAGTATGTTCTTGTATTTCACGGCACTTAAAATGAAGCTCTGCTTCCTTTTGTGTGCATCTGTTTGTGTTTGTTGATCCCATTTCCCAGATGGATTGCTGGTTGCAGTATGGCTGTAGAAGGGCAATCACAATGACAATCAGAAATTAGCTGGTTGCGAATTTTTCACCAATGTGGGTTTTGAACAAATTGGGTAATGGCACTTAATTTATCAGATTGATTACTTCTAAACCCAATCAAGTGATGATGAACGATGCCGTCTCTCATTCCTTGATAATCTCTCTCGACTCTATCATTTTACATATGAGCTGCAGGACAATCTTGCATTCATTGTTCTGTTACAAAGTACTTTTTAGCATTTTGGGGGAATAGTTGGTAGTTAGTTCTTGTATGAATTATCCTGGCGCACGTGTTATTTTATTTGTTGTGTGTTTTTTTAGCAGTGTGTTTGTTTGTGGATTTTGATTATTTCTTTGTATTAAGAGGTTTGATCCAACGTAACCCAACTCATTGTGACAAAACTCGTTATAATCCACTTTCTGGGTTTAAATGAATTTTAATTGGATTAACCTGACTGGTTACTGACCTTTATATACCCGCCTAACTTGTCTCTTTGCCAATGCTAAGTATGGAATTGAAAATGAGAACAATAGGAGCTTATTTAGCACAAATGGATTGGATCTTTTCCATTTTCTGAAACAAGAAATCTCGAACTCCTTTTTATTTGGTTTTTTCCTTGGTGGGCAGCTGTAAGCTTGGTGAATGCAGAATCATTCTATGTGAGGCAGGAGCTAGGCATAGGTTGCAGAAGTTGCAACTCAACTTTCCAAGGTATGTGTCCTTTGCTGAGACCCACCACAACAGAGTTATTCCTCTTGGCATGGCTGTCTAGTTCTCTTCACGTAATTATCTTATCATAAAACGTGCTCCCAACGTTTGCATAAACCAGCATCCTTGCATTTGAAGGTCTGAGGAAGATCACACAAGTTCATCCCCATCTTGAATCATTGACCTAAATGTATGACTTTAACACATTTTTTTACTGGAGAAATTATTTTGATCAACAATGTGATTGCAATTGTGGTTCGATCAAGGTTGTCAAAAAGTGTATCAAAATGCGTATCTTTTTTAAATATGTGTCGCACAATTTTAATTTATATGCCTATGCATACCTAAAAATATGTAAATATATATTGTCCCAAGTGAATACAAATATCATTTCAACTAACATATCAATATTAAAAGAGAGAATTATTTGTCGTTACAACAGATCGAAATATAGCTAGGGTTTGGTCTATTTGAAAGAGGAAAAGAATAAAATGTAGGTGAAACAAAAAAGGGTTGCAAAAGAAGAACATGATTGAGAGTTTCCTTTGTTCGAGATAAAACCAAAAAAAAAGAAATACCATATAGGAAACGTCATTCACTGTTCAAGGTAAAAAAAAATGGCAACATACCACTAGCATTGATCAGTGAGTTTTGTCGGTGGGTGACTAGCTAAAGCTGGGAATGTTGTATTTTCCTGAATCAGGTCAAAGAAATTCTTAAGTGATCTTGTCTTTAGACTAGAAATACCTTAAAAGAATAGGACAAAAGGAACACAAGGACTCTCAGTCTCTCAATCCCTAGTCACTCCTTTTGTTTCTAGAATTTTTTGTGAATGGATAGGTTCCAATTTACGGAGTTTCTAGTGTTTTTTTTCATTGGACCTCTTAAGTCATGTCCCTTTAGCACCCTTTACTTGAGTCATGTCTCTTCATTTACACATTTTCCTTGAGTCATATCCCTTCAGGCACCCTCTCCTTGAGTCTTGTCCCTTGTAGATACCTAAGTATCCCTTCGACAGCCTGCTAGTGCTCTGGAATGGATGGACCTAGATTGGCTTGAAAGCGACCAACCAATCCAAGTACATAGCAAATGGCATGCCTTATAAATTTCATCGCATACTTCCAATCCAACATACGGAATAATTTTCATTTGCTTTCTACCTTCATCATTCTTGGGGCAAGTGGACTTGTTAAGATGTCCTTCGCTTATAGGTATCGATAATTTCTCACCTTTATCCATCTTAAACATTCAGATACCTTTTCTAGGCATGTAAAGCGATCTAGATACGATTAAGGATAGGTACAAGGGCGCAATACTTTAGTGAGAATGATTCTAGTAGAGGCTCTTCAATTTCTGATACCAAAGATTATATCAAGGTTCTGCCTTAAGCCTGTGTTTTGTTTTTGTTGTGATTATGGTTAGTTAACTCGACACATTCAGGATGAGATTGCATGGTATATGTTATTTGTTGATGACAATAGTATCCAATTAATGAAACTTAAGAAGATACACTAAGACAAAAATTTGGAGAGATTTTAAAATCAAAAGAATTTCAGATGAGTACAAATAAAACTAAACATACGGAATGTAATTCAAGTTAAAATAGAAAGTCAAAGATCAAAGACTAAGAGATACCAAAGAGCGGACCCAATTGGAGATTATATACTCGTAAAATTAAAGAGTGATGGGTTAAGTGGAGAAATGTATCTGGTGTATTGTATGATTGACGTATGCCTCTCTAACTAAAAGGACAATTCTACAAAACAAATATTAAACTAGCAACATTTTATGTCACACCTCAATTTCACAACAAACATGAAATAACTAATAACCATCAAAATCATGAGAGTATAACTAAAATACCATAAAATAAAGCAAACATGAATAACCAACATCATCTAACTAAAAAATCCCAAAAGAAACAAAATTTAACCATTAAGTTTGCATCCCATAACCTTCAAACAAAATCAAATATCTCAATTTCACTAAATAGTATTCATAACATTATTCCATCATCAAACAGTTGAAAACTGAAATCTAATAAGTAAATCCCTAAGTCTCAAAAGTCGGATTCATATATTGATCCGCTTCAAAATCTAACTTCGCATGCTCACTTAGGGTTGTATTCTCTTCAATACCAAATCTAAAAAATATCAGGGGAATGGTTGAGCAAAACTAGTTTAGTAGAAAAACTTTCTCAAACTTAAACAAGGTTTAGAAATGGATAAAATAGGTAGGCCTTAAATTACAAAATGTTATATAATCTTTGAAGTAAGATATGTAATATTAGAACGATCTCAAGTTTCGACATATAAGCAAAAAATTAAATAAAGAGTAGAATCATTTTCAAAGCAAAAGGTCATAACAAGTATATTTCATGTACATAGTTTGGCTAGTTTGAATCCACACACTGCGTATATCTTGTCCACAGAACCCCTTTTTTTCAATCAAGCCCCGCAAGGCCACAAAGTTTTAAGAAGCGCATATACTAATGTATTAGTAATGAAATCTTATAAGAATAGTATGCTAACCCTTAACCTCGAAACCCATGAACGCATAGTGGTTTGGAACATTACAAGGATCCAACCCCAGTACAAGTGATAGGAAACCTTCAAACCCTTAAGGTAAGAAACACTTCTCAATACTCTGCAATATCAGTTCGAATGCAACCCAAGTTCATCAATCCTACCATTCAAGAGATGTAATTCACACTTTTCAATAAAATCCATGTGTATCATACCATGGACAATAGTTTCACAATTCATAAAACATAGAAAACTTCAATAGAAACATGCATGGGATCGCCAGGAAACATTATCAATTTGATAGTATTTAAGATCTAGGGTTTTTGAATAAAAATATATAAGTTGGATGTAAATCAGGTATTTTTCCAAAAAAAATAATCATATAATTCAAAAGAATTCAAAACAACTATAGATCTATCATATATATTAGAATTAGAATTAAAATTTATATATATTATAGTCCTAGTCTCAATGAAAATGAATGGAAAAAAAATTCTACTTTAATTCCGTAAATAATAGATCCTAATGTGTTTTATGTGATTTTCCATGTGTTGATTTCTTCAAGATCTAGCCTAATTTACTCATTTTTCATCCTTTTCTTTTCTCCAAAACTCTCTTAGGCTTATTTGGGTTGAAATACTGGTAAAGATATTATAAAACGCATCCATAGGGTATTCTTAGGGTCAAAAGTGATCAAAACGGCAAACCCTGAGCGGAGACAAAATCGCATTTGCGTTCGAATGGAAAATTTTTATTTGAACAGCTCTTACTCCCAGTTTCTCCCTTTCACCCTGAGTAGGATTTTGACATTAGACTTGCGTTCAAAACGCATCTAAGTTTTTGTCCAAATTTTCATCCTTGTTTTGACTTAGCTAAAGGTTGATTCATGAAATTTTTATGAAATGCACTTTTGTAGATCTTGAAGTCTAATTTTTATGCCTCCACAATCAGTTCAATCAGACATTTGAGTAAAATGTTATGGAGGTAGTGTTAAATTCCTTTCTATCCAAATTCTCCCCAAAACATGTTGAAGTCTCAGAATACCTCCAAACTCTTAATACATCTTATATCACATATCTCACGCTTTTTTGACCTTTTGGATCAATGATAGCATTATTTTAATATAAAAACATTTAAAATTTTAGTTACTTCATTTCTCCTAAGAGTGATTACCCTAAACATGTAAAGTCTCTTGGAGGTTTCAATGACTTCTACCATATCAATTTTGCAATACTCTATGTAACTATATTTCATCGAAACTCAATACAATATATAATAATCTATTATAAGTTAAAATAAATACATTGAGTCTTACGTTTTATGGTAAAAAATGTTAGATGGCTAAGCAACATGCTTTAAACCCAAGTGTTTTTGAAACACAGATATTAAGATGGATATGTGTTAAAACAAGAAATGATAGAAATGAGTAAATTCATGAAATCGTAAAACTAGCATCAATAGTATATAAATTAATAGAAAATATATATGTAAGGCCAGGAGTTGCACCAATAAAAGAGTAATATGATACTTATCAGTAGTAATGCGAGAGGGCAAGGTAGATTGAAATTAACTTTGAATGAGATATTGAAAGAAGATATGAATACTTATGGGCTAACAGAAATATTCTTTGATAGAGTTTAATAGAAAAGCAGGATTTATGTAGTCGATCTTAGATAGTTGGAATATGGTTTTCTTAAGTTTGTGGCAATGCAAATGGGTGTTCCACCACCCAATTGAATCCGAACACTACAACAAACTCGTCTCCTAGCATCCAGAAATTAATCCTGAAAATGTGTTGTTACCAGAAGTCGATAGCATTCAATGA